ATGAGTTTCTCAACAGCATGTGCACACTTGTTAGATTGGTTGCAGGAGCCCCAGACATATAGACACAAGCCGTTACGCATGAGGCTTACTTATAGAGGGAGACTCACAGGATTAGACATAGGCTGATGCCATCTGCCATAGCCGTGAAGGCCAAACCCAGGATCCAATCTGAGACCACTTCTCCTTGGGGGCAAACCACCTGCACCAAGCTTCAGCAGATCTTTTCAAAACACAAAGCACGTGGGAAACTCCAGAGTCTGAACACGCATTTCCCAACAGCAGCTGCCTGTATGACCAAAGTAAGATTTCTGTGTGTTTTACTCAGGAAGTTTACTGGGGATGCACTGCTTCCTTCCTCTACTTCATGTGTAAATAATCATTTATTTGTATGTAAAGAAATAACTATCAGGTATAACTGCAAAAAAGTTTTTAAAGGTTCATCAAACTTTCATAGAATGTTTAATGTTATTGAGATTTGAGTCTTTTGAGACTGCAGGGATTTGCTTTTGTCTTAGCCCGACTAGCTGTCAGTTTTAGTACAAACTAATCTAGACCTATATTACATGAAGACAACAGAGTCATCTACTGCAAGTAAGGTAATAACTGCTTACAACCTATCATCAGTATCACACTTTCACTATGGTTTCGAGAAAACAAACCAATGTGCTTTCCTGGGGCATGTTGGTGAGGAGGTCACTGATCCAGGAGCAAAGTGATGTGGATAAAACAAGATTGTGAGGCTTCAGAGCCACCATGTCAGAAGGTAGAGTGGGCTGAGCTAAAGTTGATGAATGGCATCCTAAAATGTGTTAGAACAACAATGTTGGGACTCTGTTCCTGTAGTGGCTCTGAAGCAGATCCCTTCACTATCCTCTGCCAGGCCTCTTTGACCTGCATATTTTGGATTTGGTACCATGCTGACATGTCGCATTTAAAAATAGTTGCTAGCGGTACTCTGCAGGATGCAGTGAGGATATTAACAGAGGGTTTAATGAAGAATGTTCAGACAGAAATGCTAATTTTCCAACCTGACAAATGCTCAGTTGAATAACTCTGGAATGAAATAAAGAATTAAAACTATAAAAAAAAAAACTAACACAAAAATGTGACCAAAGAGAGAATGCTCTAACTGGTTTTATCTTTTTAGGGTATTGTTTTTTTTCCTATACTTTTAATAATACTTGAGATATTCATGTACAAGCAGAATAGGCATGCACGCATTGTCTTTAACTGACGTGGCATGCTACACTTCTCACAAAACTTGACTTTTTCTATTTCTCTGTTACGGATATGTCACAATTAAAGATAAAGATGTAGTGCATGAGCACAGGAGGCAGAATAACAGAAGAAGTTTATCACAGATAAGAACCAACACCATAAGAGACATAGGCTGGGCACAACTATAGGTAACATCAGAGAAGTGAGGGTCAGACAAAAAGATACAACAAAAAGATATAAATACTTGTTAGAGTCAAATAAGTCAGTGGAGACTGATTCCATTAATTAAAAAGAATACATAAAAGGAAGACATAAAGCTACAAAAAATAAAACAAAGTAATGGCATTGATTTCAAAAATGTATTCCAAAATCCACAATTAACTGTGTTTGATGACTCTCTGGGCATGCTTCCTTTGTCATATTAATCTAATAAATGACTAAAACAAACTTTCAGTGTACTTCAGTGAGCAAAATGTTGACATTTTTTTTCCTTTTTATTCATCAATTATTTGCTGTTTGGCTATTTGTTGTTTTGGCACATAGAAAAATCTCCACAGTACAATAACTTTCCCTCTCCAGAGTCAGCTGTTAGGACATTTCAGTTGGTATAAAACGATCTCTTGTTTAACACCATCCAAATCACATATCCAAATTGAGACAGTTGATTTAGCATTATCTTTTAAATAATTGAAAATAGGACAAAGCAATGTTTAATAGAGCTGCCATTTTTTTTTACTGAAGTTTCTAAAATTTGTCCTGTCATATGCATATGGAAGTAATGTAAAAATGTTGGTACTTCTGACATTTTCAGTGGTATTAAAAGATTTACTGAGCAAAGGTTTTTTTTTTTGTGGTGCAAACCTAACTGGGAAAAATGTAACAAAATCCACAATTTTGCAAATACTGTCCAGTGCTTTTCTTTGCTCATAGTTTGATAGGAAGCTCAATAGCCTTCAAGCTGAATGCAAAATATTCAATACATGGTCTGAATGTCTCTTTAGGTTTTTATCTAGTCTACTTACTGTTCCTGACAGGTGAACTCTGAGGTTTTTGTTGTTTTTAAAAATAAAGTATTTAGCATAGCTATAAGTATAACTGGAAAAAGTTGCATACAAAATGACAGCCTCTGACAAGAATTAGTGCTTAAACTTAAATCACTCCAAAAACCATGAATTTGAATTTAGGATGATACATTATGATGATTATGAAGATTCAAATAGTATACTTACATTCGGCCATACACTCCATGGCCTTATAAAGTCCATCTGATGGAGGACATACAGAGAGGCATGCAATGCAAACATGGGGGTATGTACATCCAATGTAGAACATGATTCCTTTTAATCATTAAAGTCGTCTTTCTCTGCTGGTATGCATACACAGACCTATATGCCATAACATTCATTGGCATATGCATGCTTGAAAGTCATACTATGTGAAAAATTGTCCAAAGAAGATTTGCTAAAATGTTGTTGGTTAATGATACAGAGTTATACATTTACTGAAGTACACATATGTCATTCTTATGGCAGAAAGCTTTATTCTTTACTTGTGATGCAACACTGGCATTTTGGGTTAAAGAGAGAAGCGCATGGGGTAGGACTCTATATGTTTTTTTAAACTTCTTCCTACTCAACTTGAGCAGTTGTGCTTTGTTTGGTATTTAAGTTTGCATACCTGTATATTTTCTACTTTAGTTTGTTTTGTTGTTTTTCATTTGCTTAAATAAATTAGCATGGTTTTGAATAATTAATTGACATTAATACCACAAGAACTGAGAATAGGTCGAAAAGCACAAATATTGACTAGTAAAACTTATTAACTTGGTCAACACTGATAACAAATCCTTTTGACGTATCAATAGGGATTTCCCGATCCGATATCGGTCCGATATCAGGCAAAAATAATATTGGATTATATCAGCCTGCACCTAAAATATCTGATATTGGCATAATGATAAAAGCACAGCTTCATTCTAAAGTTCAAGTAACCCATTGATTAATAATCAAGTTTTTATTTTTAAGGAAAAACAACTGATTGCCTTGAAGGCAAACCCTCACCCCAAGCATGCATATTAGATAAATATCAGTATCTGTCAATTCCTAAAGGTCCAATATGAGTATTTTGTTGAAAAAAAATTTTTTTTTTCGTTTTACTACTTCATTATATCTAAATTCATTATGTTTCTTTTTCTACACCTTAACTTGTAATAAGTAAAATGTTCCTTAATTTCTTTTTTTAACCTTAACAAGAACATCATTTTAAGATTTATTATATTTGGATATAGTATATATAAAATCTAGATAGATAATCCTACAATTCTTTGAGAAACATTTATTCATGAAGATTTCAGTTTTTAACTAAACATTAAAAACATTTTTTTTTTCTGTGTAGGGTGGCTGAAACTGTGAGTGATTGCATCAAGCCGAAAAAAGTTTGAAATGTCTGCTTTGCATAAACTATGTCACTATTAAACACCACCAGTGTCAAGTAAGGGTGGGGGTTTGACAGGGGGACCCAAATGCAGACTGAAGCTGAAGGATGATACTTGCAGATTTATTATCCAAAAAAAGTTTAACAGAAGCAAAAAATCCAAAAAACATAAATCCACAAAAACTGAGAACCAGGAATACTCACAACGAGGGGCAAAGAAATGACGACAAACCAGCAACAGTGACTGAGCAGGAGGTGCATCTATGGGAGATAGAAACAAGGACCAGGCTGATCAGCAGATTGGGAGCAGGTGTGAACAGAGGAGTCTAGAAAGGAGCTGGGAAAAGGAGACTGACACAAGAGGGCAACAGAGGATAAACAAGAAATACCTAATAACTCAAACACAATCAAAAACAACTAGATTATCACAAAATGGAAACCAATGAAAGCTCAAAGATAAAACTTAAACAGGACCAAACCCATGACATACTGTTATTTCACAACAGCCCCAATTCTACAGCATATACTCTGCAAAAGAAATCTTACTTTTCTTTTTATTGATTTTTTTCTCTCGTTTTTGTTCAGGAACACTCAAACTTTAATTTTATGTTTTAATTAGCTGTGGGTGAAAAAAAATCATAACTGAAATATAGGCTTTAAAACAGTGTTTAATTAATCTATCTTCCTCATATTTCATACATCAATAGTGTTTAATAATTAATGTTACCTGAACTAGGATCAAATTTTCATACATCCATGCATTTTTACATATTAATAGCTTTTTCTTTTCCTTGTACAGATTAAATAGAACTTTTTCCTTCTCGGGGCCAATAATGGACTTTGCTGGTAGCAGCTCCTTAAATAGAATTCTGCTCAGGGGCTTAAACAACCCCAGTCCAGCCCTGCATTTCTATTCAACCATTTGTAATATAAAAGAGAAATGGTGACTCATTACACTGTGAGATGAATTGTATTATCTTGCTCCATAGCCTCGTTTAACTAAGATAACGGACGCTTAATTGGCAAAAGGACACCGATCAGAACCCATATGCTCAAAGGCTGCAGATAGTCATTAATTAGTAAAATCGCAATTTCAAAAGCCATTTGCGAGAGCCCCCCCAAGACAACCGCTTCAATATCGGTCACCGTAATTCTGCCTTAAAAAACAAGGCTGGGGTGTAGTAAGAAATAATTAAACCGATATAATTGCTTGTATCTCCTCATGACAAACAAACGACAGCACGTGCGCTTATCCACTCATTTTGTTTCTCAACAGGTCCAGCCTCTCTCTCTCCCCTCCTCACTCATCCTCTCTCTCCTCTGAAAGCCCTAAAAACCCCTCTGCTGCTACTGCTGCTGCTGCTGCCGCGCGCTCAGATGATTCCACTCTCGCGCAGCTGAGTGTCGGCAGCTTCAAAGCTCAGCATCACTTTCTTCCTTCCCTGTCACCGCACCACGATTCCGCGAGGTTAGACCGGTCGCTCCTCATCTCAGCGCGCCTGACCGTGCGCACCCGCGCCAGGCAAGCGACCCGCCGGGACACGGAAAAGAGGTTTAAAAGGGAGGGCTGCGGAGGAGACGGCAAATGCTGAAGACCCGCGGCAGGTGGCCCTAGACCCCGACGGGGAGGGAGACAAGCAGAGCAGTGATGGGACAGTTTTCCAGAGGATGCTGCTGGAGTTTTGCCACCCTCCTGCTTCTTGGTTTGCAAGTCTCGGCCGCCTTAGCTCGAGGTAAGAACAACACTTTATTGAGCTCTAGTAGTTCCCGAAAAGAAAGTGGAATCAAAGGTGTAGAAATGGAACTAATGTTCCCTATGGCGCCGGCTGTACTTACATCTAAAGAGAGAGAGAGAAAAAAGTTATTTTTCGCATTTAAATCTGAATATACGACTCCAATAAAAAGTAAGACTGCAAGTTTATTTATTTTTGTTCATGTTATAAGAATGTATAGAGATGCAGTTTAGAATTACTTAGATATAGAGCTGCAGGAATGTGCCACTCCAATGTATTTTCTACTTTGCTACATGACAGGTCCCCCTGTTGGGATTCACACACAATGCATTGTTCTCTTGTAATATTGGTGATCCAGGTAAGATTACTGCTTAATGGCAAGATGGTCTGAAAATGAAAGCATAAAAAAATTGATGTCATGCTCAGTTTACTAATAGTCACTGGGTGGATGATCATAAAGTCCCTTTTTCCAGTGAATCCTTGCTGACCTATTGACTTTAGCTTATCTACAAGTGAAACAAAGGAGCATTTGCAAGTCGATTAGTTTAATAGCCCTGAGGTTTTAATCTTTTTCCATCCAAAGTTTGAAAATTGGCTTTGACTTCGAAATTTGCATAGCATATAAATTAGATTAAGCGTATGTATCTTAAGGACAACTTTTCATGCATGGATCAGGGCAGTTTTCTTGTTGATATGGAAGATGCTGAGGGATAAACATGCAAAAAAAAAAAAACAATAACATCGGCTCAGAATAACAATTTGTAGCATCTCCACAGTGGCTGTACTACACATGGGAAATGTTGCTGTGATGTTGAGAAGGAGTGACCACCGCCTGGCAGGGAAACACTGCTGCGACTGCATGAAAGTAAAATGGGCTTCTGTTTGTGGATGCAGTTTATAAAGGCTGCAAAGGTGCATTTTGCTGCCTGGCGATGGCTCTTACTCAGGCTTTTGTGATAAATATGTATGTTTTTCAGTAATATAGATGTCAGCAGTCAAATATGCTATGCAAACATGAAACGGTCTACAATGGAAGAAGCACTCTAAGATCAACAGAATGGAAGAATTTCCAAGGAGTACTGATTTTAAATCAGAATTTTTGACATAAATATTGAGTCTGTACAGTTTTAGGAGGGGCTTGGTGTTATGTATTTAATTTAGAATTATGAAGGTAGATTAGTAACCTAAAAAAGAATAATGATCCTCAAATGAAGTATCATTGCAACTTTAAATATTTGGGACTTTTTTATTTTACCTTTTTTTTTATTTTTGTTCTCAGACTTTATAAACATTAAGCTTAAATTAGTGATATTTAATCTAACTATCATAATGCAGCTGTACCCACAGCAATTCTTTTTTATACATTTTGAAGATTCAGGAGTGTTTTTCATTTATTAATAATATATATTCAGCCCTGAGTCTCAGTTTCTACCTCATGTGAATAAATGTAACTCAGCATTTCCCCCAAGTTGACAGCTTGTTTCTTTTGTGTTGGAACTGGAGCGTTAACAGTTTGAGGGTGAGAGCTGCTGGTGTCCTGGCCAAGACTCGTTCTTCTGACGCTAGAAGCAGCTGTTTTAGCATCTCCACCACTTGTGACCGCATTCAGACATTCTGGCAGGCGTTCAGACCTTCTTAGATCTGTTTGGGGTGTAAGGAAGATTGGCACTTTTGTTGGGAACCTTTATTATACTTTCATACACCAAACACATTTTTTCTCCACCTGTAAGTGTTGTTGTTGTCGCCTAACCTGCCTTCCCCTGCTGCTCGGCTCAGCTCCATCAGATATCCAGACACAGTAAGAGGAAGTGCGGGAGAGGAAATAATCCCACTGTAAATAACGGAGCAACTTGGATATGATGCTCCAGCTGAGCTGAAATGCGACGACTGCACGTACATTTGTGCAATAACATAATTACATACCTTTTTATTGCTTTTAGAAGAAGTTGAATCTAGTAAAGATTCCCAGAGGCTTTTAAAGTCTGATGCGTGCTTTATTTGCCATTTAAACAATCCATCATGCTTTGCATTTTAGGGGAAAGTATATAACTTAAAGCATTATTTCTTAAGCCCCCTCCTTAAATGATAGAATAAGAGCTACATCTTCTTATTCCTCCATTGAACTCTGCTTCCTACAGGAGCACATATATCCAAGTTCATCATCTCAGTCAATTTAATATTTAAACTCTTTCCAGAATTATCTATATTTATTAAAAGACAAAACAATTTCTTTGGTTTTATTTACTTTTGTTCAGAGATGAATTTCCAGGTTTTTGGCCCTCCCCATGGAACGCTCATGGCTCTTCTCTTAGTCATCCATGTGTTGCTGTTTATGCTTGATGATTCAGCATGTCACATCTGCCTGTTGCTCTTTTATATTTGATTGTGTATGTGAGTAATACCATTTTAAGAATCCAGAAACAAAAAAAAAATCCATCTGAAAACGTGGCGCCTTGCTGGAATTACTCTGTTTTGTTGAGCTATCTCATTTACTCCAAACGTTGATGTTGCTTCTAGAGCCGAACGATTCAAAAATCTAAGTTGTGATTTTATTTTTAACCAATATTGTGATTTTATTTAGATTTTCCTTGGTACTGAGCCCAAACCTCAGGGTTTAAGTTCTTTCATGACCTTGGAAGCTTCCTTTTCCAGAGACCATTGTTGCAGGACTTTACTGTAACCATTGCGTGAGAAAGAGCTCAATTCAATGCTTCTGCATGCATGCTGCAACCCTCTCTACCTTTCTGTGTTGTGAGAAAACCCACCTTAAGCATATGACTGCCACCTTAAGGGTTGGAAGGGCTCTTTTTAAATGTAATGTGTGTACAATTGAGCTCCTCTGCAGTTTGAACATTTCATTTTGTTAAATTGTGATTATATCGCAAATGCAATTAGTGGCCCAGCCCTAGTAACTTCACATCTTCTAACCAATTCTATCATACCCATGTTTTTCCATTTCTTCTCTGTGAGACGGAACACTTTCCAGAGATATAAATAAACAAAACAAAGGATTTTTAGACATCAAACTGAGAAATAAGAATATGTTGTTTCGTGCTTATTTGAATGAAAATGATGTTGTTTCCTCTTACCCATCGAGCACCCTTTGATTTTATTTTTATTTATTTTTTTGCAGGCACATCGGAAAGTTAGTTTGTGCACAATAAGACAAGCATTGAATTTTTTTTCGTATTTGGAAGAAATAAGATTTTATCTTGTTTGGCAGAAATACAGCAGCCAATCTAAGTTATCTCCAGATTGAGGAAAACATAAGATTTCAAAATTTGCAACATGAAGTCTAGAATTTCCTTTGCTTCTCCTCCTAATCTGAATTCTTTCAATATAATCGAATGGAAAGAGGAAAATGGATTGAAAACATGCTTTAAGAGCAACCTTATCACTGATATATTTTGGTTGTAGAGTTGAATGTTGAGGCTCTTTCGTAATGGATATTCTTGAAGTACTCTAATAACTAAGACATCGGGACTCATTTAAAGACTTCTTAAAATGGCATTAGGGCCATTTACATTCCACAGAGCATTTAGATGCATGTTTCATGTTTTATTTTCTCTGTTATAATGCCCACTAACTCCCCTTAATGATGTTGCTGATGAACATTTATTGTGGCTGCGACATAATAGTTTATGGACCATGGAGGAGACTTTGTATAATTTCAGTAAAATAAAGAGCCAGAATGTGTTTTATCATAAGTTATATCACCCTAAAATGCCTTATTAATACTAATCATTATTACATGTTTTTCCAAATTTTCTTTGCAGCTATAATATATAAGAAAATGTTAAGTTCTTATAGTGTTAAAAATATAATTTAGGTGAAGTGCTGCATGCTAGTTTGAAAATCAAAGTAACACCTTGATGTGAAACATGCAGCTTTATTGCCCAAAGCTAAAAACCACATGTAAAACAGCAGGAGGTGAAGATACAGTTGGCTGTCCATCCTTATGGGAGTCAAATTAACCTTATATCATGTTCACTTGGATAAACACCACTTCTGTCCATGCTTGGTGAAAATGTCATGCATTGCAAATTTTACCTGTTAGAAAAGCGCAGCAGTGCTCCAAGGTCCAGCCATAATCTAAAGTTTCATTTTACTCCTTGATAGAAAGGATTCAGGAAGCTGTATGTTAAGGATTCACATTGCAGCACATGTAATTCAGAGAACCTGCTGGTAGAAAAGCACCATGGTCTAAAGTAAAAAAAAAAAAAAAGTACAGAGAGGGAAGAGGAGAGGCAGAGAATGGAGGATAAAGGGCAATAGAGTCATCTCTGACATGTTTTATTTATCCCAGAACGACTGCCAGAATCTTGCTCAAGCTTCGGCTTTGATTTAACTGCCATTTCACATGATATGAATTCAGTGGCACAGTTGGAAAAGTATCCACAGTCGCGTTGTGCTGGTCATATCGCCCCACTTCACTACTGCATTATTCAAAGGGAACCCATTTCTTTATTCGAACCCATCAAGCCCCTCTCCAATCATTTGCTCTTGACATTCAAAAGAAATCAGGCTCACCACCAGCAAAAAGTGGGTAGGAGGTAGTGTTTATAGAAAATGCTCTTTAAAGAGAAACATTTTAGAAACCTTATTAGGAAACTTTAGAATGTGGTAAAAAGATGAATACAGTAATAAAGTATTGTAACATACCTGGATGGGCAAAATTACAGCAATAGTTTATGTCTATTGTTTCCTTGGATTTGGTGCCTTGAATCATTGGAAATCCTTATATTTAGCCCCTGGAAGATAAAGTAGGAGTCAACCATTCCTTTGTTTTCTCCACCATAAACAATGTCACACTTTCAGTCATAAATGTTTGTACAGACTCAGTCTATCCTGTTTATGTGATTATCTGTGGGCTTCCCTGGTCCTATTTATAGAAAATTATATATAAATGTTTTGTACCGTAAATTCATCTGACACTTTTTTGCATGTAATTTGTCAAATATCTTAATATTCTAGCTTAAATCTTTTTTTTTTTTTTTTTG